GCCGCGCGCCGCCGACCGAGACCAGCGGGCCCCGGGCGCCGAGCGCCGGCTCCTCCTCCTCTCTCTCTCCCTCCCCTCCTCCGCCGCCTCCCTGCTCCCTCCTCCCGTCCCTCCCTCCCTCCCCCTTTCAGAGCACTCAATGTCGGAACGTTCCGAAGATGACGTCGGAGCGTTCTCGAATCCCGTGTCTCTCGGCTGCTGCTGCCGAAGGAACAGGGAAAAAGCAACAAGAAGGAAGAGCAATGGCGACACTGGATCGCAAAGTGCCCAGTCCGGAGGCGTTTCTGGGCAAACCCTGGTCCTCCTGGATCGACGCCGCCAAATTACACTGCTCCGACAGTAAGAACCCCACCGCCTCCTCTTCCTTTTATTATCCTGTAACCTTTCCATTCACCTAGAGCCACTGGGAAAAAGTGTGTGTGTGAGAGAGAGAGTGGCCCCCGGTGTCCTCCATGCTTCTCCCTCTCTCTCTAAATAAATACACACAGAGACAGATCATCAATGCACAGAGAGAGGCCCTGCTGCCAGGGCTGGCTGTCTGTCTGTCTGTGCCCGGCTCCCCGTGGCAGCCCGCGGGGTGGGCTTTCACAGCCCCACGGTGTATCTGTTTAAAAGGCTACTCTGTTGCTGCTTGCATAGTTTTTTTGGTACCTATCTGGGCCAGGTAGATGGCAATCCGGACTTGGGAGAAAATGTTGCATTGTCAATTTTTGAAAGATTTTTCATGTACAGTATTTATATTGATCTGTTTGCAAATAAACACTCTCTCCCCCCTTGACTTTGGCTTTCCCCCCCTTTTTGATCTTTTTTTCCTCATTTTCTTTTCTCCTTTTCTTTTTCATCTGCAGATGTAGATTTAGAAGAGGCTGGAAAAGAGGGTGGAAAAAGCAGGGAGGTTATGAGGCTTAATAAAGAAGGTAAGTGAGCTACTGGCATTTTAGTGTTAGCATGTGGCAGAATCTTCACCGGATTTCGACTATAATGTGAATTGTTCTGCTGGGTACAGAGTGACTAAGGCTTGTCAAAAATCGAGCACGCCCAGGTGACTACTGCTTCATGTTAACTTCTTTCAAAGTATAAATACAACTGGGGGGGGGAGGGGGGAGACTGTGGAAGGCAGAAGTTTACAGCACTTAAGCCGCAGTCCACATTTGGACCTTCTGATGCATATCTGCCATTCACCTTTGGAGCATCATTGCCAAATGGTGGTGGGGGGTGGGGGGTGTCTTGAAATCTCTGAAATGAGGAGCGGGGCTCCCTTTACCAGCATCCCAGCCTTCCTTGTGGGTACATACACAACAGTTTAATGAGCCCCACATGGTCAGTCATTCCAGCAGCTACTTCTCCACTCTCCACTGAAAACCACTGTACATGGCAGACCTTTGCAGCAAGTTACATTCGGCCCACTTTGTGTTTGGTCACAGATTGTTGTGTGGCGGGCAGGGCTAGGGGCGGCTGTGTGTGCAGCTCCCCCCGCCGGTCACACATCTCTGTTTCCCCAGCCTGGAAATATAGTACCTGAAATGGGACACAGTGAGTAGATAGGTCATCCCAGACTGAGGCAGGGATGGGAAGCCACGGCCTGCTGGAACTGGGCATCAAACACACATGGTCATCATAAATAAATCATATCCTGTTCGCGTTTGCAGGCCTGCCATATGTAACTCTGGCCTATGGGCTTCACATGGAGCAACTCCAGAGGCCACTTTCTGCTGAACAAATGGATGGGTTCATTTGAATTGTGATTTACTAACTGGTGTCTTGTAAACATGGCTGGCTGAAATTGGAGTGGGAGGAAGGCATGAGGGGGCAGAAGAGGTTGGTGGGAAGTGTTGAAGGAGTTCAGCCATCACTAGGCCGTGGGAGCATTGCTCATCCAAAATGAATGGAAAAAAGGCCAGTTAGACTCCAAAGAATGGTCTCCCTCATAAACCAGGATAGCACCCTGTAAGGCAGTTAAAACCTACTTGGAAACGTTTTGTGGATCACCACCTAAGACAGTCGGTTTTCTGTGCCCAGGGATTTCCTGACCATCCAGTGAGAGGAGAATTTGTGCTTTAGAAAAAATAGCATGGAGGTTAAAATATTCAAGGACAGTTCTCTAGCATAGTGTTCCTGCTAATTAATCACTTTGGGAACGAAACCTTATTCTAAAGATGTTTGCCTCTAAATATCGTAGTGTGGTCCTGCCATGTGTCTCCAGGATGCACAAGGGAACAATATCAAGTGGACTTCTTACAAGTGGCAGCTTATTGGCGCTAAATGTCCGTGCGTGTTGGCAATGGAAAGTATCGCTAGAAATTGTTTTTCTTTATAAACTCTTGAGATCTTTAAGAGCTCATGGGACTCCGTTGTCAGACCACTGGCCATGAAAAGGTTTCCACAAAAAAAGATGAGGTTGTGAAAACCTTTAAATAAGTTGAGTAAAGGTCATGGTGTGCCACTGATTGGTACCTCTCAGGCCTGGGTGACAGATTCTGACCATACCGCACAAAACTCATATTCTGCACCCTCCTCCCTGCGTCCATCTCAAAAGACTCTTGTTCTCAGATTCTCTTTGCCTCTTGGGAAATAGATTCTTTTAAGGAAAAATGAAAAGCTCGCCTTTCCTCAGAAGTCACAAGTGGTACATCCTGCTTATTATAGTCTTTGTCCTGTAAAGGTACAAAGATTTAGCTCCTAATTATATGCGTTTGCATTAAGGACACCTACTGTTCAGTGTAACATGCAATTGCTGAGTTCACCAAATAGCCATGTATGGGGTGAAATCTCTTTGTTCGTGGGCCTGGTGGAGCAAGCTTGGGTTAGCAATCCCTGAAGGTCTTCCTGGTATGTGCATACAGTTTTCTTTAGAGGGAGAGGATATAGTAGTAAATATCTATCTATCCCCCCACCACCACCATGGTGAGGAATTGAAGGGTTGAACTGGGATTCTGTGTTGGTATGTTTGGTTGCTGGAATCTCCAGAAACACTGGTTGCATTAGTTTCGCCATGGGCCTTCTTGTCGGAGTCACCACGTGGGTGGCCTCCAGATGGATATGTGTTTGTGGATGGGTCTCCAGGACACAAAGTGACCTAGGTGTGATCGTGTTTATCCACGGGTCTGAAATGCATTGATCGGCCATGATGCAGTTGGGAGGAAGCAGGTCTTGAAAAGAAGTTTGGGCTTTAATGGCAGTGAATGAGTTAGGAATTCCAACTGAGAAATCAAGGGATGTGATCCACATTTTAAATATTTTAAATTGTTGTAAAAGAAATATAATGTAAAATTTGCCATTTTAACCATTTTAAAGGGTATAATTCAGTGGTGCTAGGTACATTTACAGTATTGTACAACCATCATCCCTATACATTTCCTGAACTTTTTCATCATCCCAACCAGGAGCCCTGTAGCCATTACATGATAACTCCCCATTGCCTTTCCTCTCAGCCCTGGAAACCTCTGTTCCATCTGCTGTCTCTATGAAGATGCCTATTTTAAATTCTCTCTCTCTCTCCCTCCCCCACTCCTCTTTCTCTCCCTGCCCCCTTTCTCCCTCTCTCTCTGAAATGCAATATTTGTCCCTTTGTGTCTGGCTTATTTCACTTAGTATAACATTTTCATCATTTATCCATGCTGTAGCAGGTGTCACAATTTTTTCCTTTTTACGGCTAAATTATATTCCATGGTGGGTATAGACCGTGTTTTATTTATCCAGCCATCTGTTGATGGGCATTTGGCTTGTTTCCGCCTTTTGGCTGCAGTGAATAATGCTGCTGTGACCATTGTTGTGATATGATATGTTTTATAGACGAAGCTATAAGGGAGGAAAGTTAGGCTGGAAATGCGAAAGAAGAAACATTTTGCCTTCTGCCTCTATCTGGCCACAGCCTCAGAAGACACAGGAAGGACTTGCCGGCGTTTGGAATAGCCTGATTATTGGAATGTGCTTCCTTCTTCATTCCTCATTCCTTTCACCTTTTGTGGCTTCAGTTCTCCACCTGGATGAAATGTTAACCGAATGCTTCAGAATTTCTGTAGTGAATTCTTCGCATTCATGTTATTATTTCATCCAAAGTTAGTGAAAATCACAGGCAAGAGGAATTTGGCAAACACCCTTGAGCCTTGCCAGATGGTCACCTGGGTTCAGAAGGTGCCGTGAACTCCATGTTTGGAGGTGGTGACATGGGGTTATGCCGAGGGCTGCCTGGAGTGCCAATGGAGCAGGAGAGAGGGCTCTGGGGCAGCTTCCTGAAGTCCCCCTGTATGACCTTGGGAACATCGGCTCCCTTCTCCGGGCCTCTCCTCTCACTTGTAAAGTAGGGAGTGGGATGACACGTCCCCCAGGGTCCCTTTGAGATGGCTGACCCTGACTCTCTCTACTGAATGTACCTCTATTTGAGATCCAGTCATACCACCCAGGCTGTTTTTAAAGAAACAACAGCAACAAAATCAAGCCCTCACATTAAAAATATCTTAACTAACTACTACACACTGGGTCTGTTTTCTCATTTTATAATCTCTTGGTGGCAAACATCACCACATCTCCTACACAAGCAAATAGTTTGTGAAGAGTATGTGGCCTTTAGGAGTCTAAGAATACTGAGGGTCTGAGTTCAAAACCCAGGCGCATGCGTTCCCCCGAAGTGGAGAATAAGTGGACCTCAGTCAGCCTGGACCAGTGCGGCACTGAGATTCCTTAAGGCGTGGGGGGTCCCAGAAACCTTATTAGTCTAAGATGTGAAATTCATCTGTGAGAGAAAATTCCAAGGAAGCCCATTCATCTAGCTAACCTTTTAAAATAATTTTCTCTCTCTAGTTTCATAGATTTATCTGAAGACTTTTTTCCAGCTAATTGGGAAAAAGCTCTGTGATTTAGAAAAATGGTCTTCTTTTCTCATTGCCTCACCTGAACTTTTTTTAAGGATGTCAGTTCATAAATCGGGAACAGGGTGCATATGGCTCAAAATGGAGATGCTAACAGGTTTGTGAGGATTGACTGAGGTAATACAAAAGGACCCGGCACACAGTAAGCACATAATGTTTGCCTTTATTCTTTTTTTAACTGTTATTATATCATTATCACTTTTTAATGAAGCCAGTCCTAGAACACTTTATTATTATAATTAACTAGGACTTTCAACTACCCAGTGACAAATGGAAGAGAGATCCTGTATCAGAAATTTCATTTTTAGAGTAAACCATGTTATCATGATTTTATAAAGCTAGTGATTTTTAAAAAACCGATTACTATGACATCTTTGTGTTTCATGGGGCGCAGTTAATATGTAGTCATTGATAACTTTTATCAGAAGTTAGAAAATATACTTCGGCAGTTTCGGGCCTATGGGCTAAGGAGGGTTTACAGCGCTCTCTCGGGGGACTGCTGAGATGTAGAGAATAATTTAAAAAATGATTGATAAGTTGTTTTATCTGGTCACTGAGACAAGAAAGACCTCCGAAGATCCTTGTTTGGGTCTTTTGGAAGCCTACACTGGTTTCTCTGGACATTTGTCTGTGTTTTAATGTTCCCAGATGTTTTGATTTGATGGAGGTAAACCTGCGGAATGCTTCCAGTTTGGAAACTGTTCTGGGGCCAGTTAAGGTCTTGCCACGATGGTAAGAGGTTGCTGCTGTCCCCTGAGATGCTGGCAGAATGGGGCTGGAACGCCGGAGGAAGCCGGGAACGTGGGAGCGTGTCCAGCTCAGGTTTAGGAGTCTTGCAGTTGTGGCTGGTTGGGAGCAAACTGGAGGCAAAGATGGCCACTGACCTGGGAAGAGTGAAGTGTTCTTAAAAGCCAAGCCAGGGAAGCCAGCGACAAGTGGTGGAGATTTATGGGAATCTGCGGGTGGCTTCCCTTTGTCATTATACAGACAACTCCGTATCTATGCTAATAGGAGATGGGAAGACACCAAGTCCACAGATTACACAGATA